TAAGAAAAAAGTTTTTTTTTCAATTTTCCTTTTACACTTTTCACAATAAAAAATTAATTATTATTTTCGCACGCGCTTTAACGATATTTTACTAATTAATCACAAACGATAACGAATTTCGTCCAGTTAGCATCACCTACGAAAACCAGTACCGTTCTGGGCCTACTGTACGCAACGAAGAATCATTTGATACTGTCTTATCAGTTCCAAAATCCCCATTGAAGATCCTTAGCGCAGACGTCGATCTCTTTAATTCCAAAGGCGTCTACTGTGTGTAAAAAATATATGTATATACTACATTAATAAATTCTTGGCGAATAACGTCGCGTACGAGTAAATATTCCAAGTGTCATTTAACGTCAGATGATAAGAGAAATTAAACACGCGTCGAGATCTGAGCTAATTTGATAAGAGAAAAAGAAAAAGACGAAAAATATTTATTTTGCTCATTCAGCCAGAATTTATCTTGGAATAATATTTCGTACGTATAACAAAGCATACGGTATATCAAGTAACTACGAAAGGAGTAAATAGCGAATTGATAAAAGAAAACAAAAATAATAATAAAATAAAATGGAATAATAAAAGTGAAAATTTAAATCAACTCACTAGGCTGATAACAGGTTGACTGACGTTGCAAGTAAACGTTATCTTAGCTACTGCGCGAATCAAATGACTGAGGAAATATTAATTGATCCCTGATGAGTTATTATTATTATTATTATATTTTTAATATCTTTTTCCTTATTTTTCTTGAATTTATATTCGCCTCTTTTTTTTTTGCAAATTAAAAAGAAACCTGGATCGAATTAAGAATAAAACACAGTTCCATCGTTTTTCAATTTCCGGGTATAAGAGCGAATCAAAGTTTTCGGAAGTAAACGCTTTTTTTTTCTTAACGTTTTCTGAACCCTCCTCGGTTAAACTTCAAAGTTACCTTGTTAGAGTCATGCTCTGGATTCTACTTGGATTCTGCTTCACCAGATGAGACTTCTTGTACTGCTACTATTTCTACTACTGTTGCTGCTGCTGCTATTAGTACTACTACTATTGCTGCTACTACTACTACTGCTACTCCTATTAGCTCTACCAGTACTACTAGTACTATTGCCATTACTATTGCCATGGCTTTCTCATCTTATATTACATATGTAAATTGCATTCCGGTTGCTCGTCTATTAATTGCTCTTGATTAAAATACGACTGCAATAATCAAAAAGCCAGTTCGCTAATTGCCAGCAATGAATATTTTATTTGGAATTTCCGGAAACGTTCACTTCCGTTTTCTATCTTCCCCTACGTACTGTACCTATATACACCCTATTCTAAACACACCTCTAGAAAAATATGTGAACCAAAGTGTTACCGAATGAAAAAAAAATTATTTTTACTTAATTCTCTATTTCTCATCATTGCCACAAGCGTATCGCGAAACTATCGGATTTTTCATGTGTGTTTAAAAAGAATTGATCTCACGCGCGAGCCACGTTTTGAATATTTAAAATCTCAGGACGATAAAAAAAATTGTGTTCTGCCCGTCATTCCTCACGGAAAAAAAAGAAAAATTTTTATCGTTCCTTCAAGAACGACGGCATATGTGAATACGTTGCACGTCACATATGTATATAAATGTATGCAGATACTTTCGTACACGTCAGTCCAGGATAGGAAAAAAACTTTCAAATTTTTTTTTCGGTTTCCTCCATCTTTTCTCTCTCTCTCTCGCCATCCCTTGGCGAAGGTCCCAGAGCAATTGTTTTTCCTCCCCTAGGATAAGGGCTCGTTTTAAAATACGTTTACTCATACCTGTCGCGCCACGCCTCGCTCGCGTCAGCCGCTCGGACTTGCTCGTTTTTTATTCGGCCTTGACAAATTGCCATGAATTTTGTATGTTCTCACGGATACGAGACTATTGCGTCTGGCCCGAATACCTTCGGACTTTATCTACTTGCTCTGTGCGCGGGCACATTGCAAGTCCCTCGGACCAATCCACTTGGACCTTGGTACATAAAAGTCAGGGTTCGCTTTGAGAATTGTCTGTGATCGATAAAAATTACAACCCTTAACTCGAGTCCGATTATATTTAATCGGTGGCATTAATTGCCGATGTCATCTAAAAGATCGTTTGTTATCGAGCCGGTAATTGGACAGGTGCTTATTTGTAATTGGGTATAAATTTAATTGATAAGGGTGAAGGGTGACAATAAATAACAATATTCTATCAAAGGGGTCACAATTATGGGTTTTTACTTGTAGGTTAGAATAGGGGATGGAATATTTGCAAGTGTCTTATTTTTAAGTGGGTACACTTCAGACAGTCGGGATATTGCGTTTTATTATTTATTATGTAAAGAGAGAAGGGCGGGTTTACAAGGGAGAATAATGGATATCGTTAAGTTGCAGTTGCAGCCTTCGAAATCGTTATTTGGCACAAAAGTTTACACTGCTCGAAAGGGGGTGGTTAATGCAAGTAAAACAACCCCTGGGTAATCGACGCTTTACGTATCTGTATTATTCACGTATCGGCAGGGCACTTTACAATGTGTTCGCTAAGAGGATTAAAAGGGACTCAGCAGAGTGACAGCCGTCAGATTGAAAATTTTCAAAAATCAAAAGTACAAAAGTGCCGTGGAAAAAAATTCCCAAAAAATTTTCAGACAATGAGGGAGATCAAAATTAAAGGGGAAAAAAAAACTACCCTTGTATAAAATTCGCATAATGAGTATCGCATTAGCGAACAACCCTTAAAGCAGGTGGTAAGGCTGGGGTCCCGTGGAGGGTGGACTTTAATTAAATAATTAAATGTTCCTCAGCCCCTCCGACCCTTGAACTCTCTAACCACCCTCTACCCTCTTCTCATCCCCCATTCATCAGCCATACACTGACTGCGAAGGAATTAGAAAGCCGAAAAGAGTCTCGTAAGAAAAGGATTTTTCCGCCGTGTAAAATTGATCCGTCGGGGGTCACGTGATGGGGATGATAAAGGGTGGGTCAAAAAAAGAAGCGCAGGTTACGTGACCTTCCTAACTGGATTCAGTGGAAAAGGATGCGGATCGTAAAGTCGCTCCATGTCTCACATGAAAATTGGTGTTGGATACGAAAACGGAGAGAATTTTTTGTAAATTTTTTTTTACGATAAAATTTACCGTAAAAACCAGTAGTCGCGGTATATCGTTACAATATCATTACTCATTACAAGTAAATTTTACAGTGCACAAGGTAAATATTGTTATTTGCAATTTTTACTGCGTTCCCTCGTAAAAATTTACCTGACTCGATATAAAATTTTATTTTACAAAAAAAAAAATTTAATTGATATAACCAAAAACTTATTGATATTTTCACACCATTGCAGAACGTCGATTTTGAATTATTTTCATAACTCGAAACCGCTAGCGAAAATCCGAAACCTAACCTACGTCAAATTCGGTATGCCAGGCAGCCGCCAGCCAATTCCTTTTTCACCGGGAATCGACGTACCGGTATAACCTGGGAGTTGAGTCGGAATAGCCTTAGCATCGCGAAAACAAAAGCCCATCGGAAAAGACGATAGTTTAACGAATCCCGTCGATATTTGCCGCTGCGTAAAATCGAGAAACGCAACCATAGACGATAATCGAAGGAACGCGTAAAATCGGCAAAAGCAAATAAAATCGAAATCCCTCCATCGATTAATAAATTAGCATTACTCACCAGAGCTGGTTCAGCTGATCGGTGAAGTCCGAGAACTGCATCCAGGAGACCCTCGGTTAGGCACTGCACTATAGCACAACACTGCACTTCCGAAACGCGTGCGGAAAATCTATAGGATTTTCTGGATATCGCGAGAACTGCACAAGCGTGAACTTCCTATACCGTACAGGTCACGGCTAGAAAAACTATCAACAAACAACCCGGGAGCGCGAACCGGCTCGAGGCACACCGATCGGTGTCCCAAGACAGACTGATTTGAAACAGTCAATCGACAATGGTAATATTTGAGAACCAATCATTCTGATTGGTCGAAATCCTTACAGCCGATAACTCTTACCCTTTTGCTCGAGTCGTCCCTTTAAACTAAATCCAGGACGTTCCTTAGCGAATCGGTACGCAACTTCTTGGAGATCGTCCACGGCCAATTCCCCAGAGGATCGATGTACCTATGCTGCTGCCTGTTGGTCGCAGAAATGAATTTTCCTTGTTCCTTTTATTTCCTCTTTCTCTACGAGCTGGAGGAATAGGCATGCAATTTTCATAATTTTTACGAGCTAGGGGAATTTCTATTTTTTGTATTTTTCCCTAGAATTCCCTATACGCGTATATTCTAGGGGACGGTCTATACACGATTCACCCGTAAGCTCAAGTGAAATTTTCAATACGCGAAATCGATCGGTATGACGAATTTCTATGAATACAAATTTCGCTCACGTCTTATCTAATAATATATATTATCAGGGCGCATCTCCATGTGCGAATACGTATTGAATAGCAAGTACGATTTCAGGTATTTATTAGCCGGTTGAGAACGAAGCATTAAGTCTGGTTTTAAACTAAACGATAATTTCAACCCATTTAGAAATCACGTAGGTCGTGTTCCCATGCGAGCGACATTTGCATCCTTGTAAAAGCTCCCTCGGAGTTGTCGCATCAAATCGCGTCGACAAATAGGTACCAGCCCACATCCATAGATTTTCTCCTACTTGCCGCAAGCTACTGTTCAGAAATTCCGCACCGCAGTCGCAAACTTTTCCGCACGTATTACCAACGACTGGGATAGACGCGACATTCTGGAACGTACGGAATTTTTTTTATCCACGTTGCTTATCCGCCTCACTTATTTTCCGCATTTCTTGTTTCTTGTTATCAGTATCTTTTTTCTTCTTCTATCTTATTTTCACTTACGGTTTCCCAGATCAAAATCCTTAATACGTATTTCCATCACGCGTTTCAAGCGATATTAGCAAATAATTCAAAATACACATTTTTTTTATCTAATCAAAATTTTTTCTTATCTGTTACAGCCTTGACAGGGATCAACCCTTTACTTTCCAGCTGGGTGTGGGACAGGTGATCCAAGGATGGGACCAAGGACTCCTGGACATGTGCGTTGGTGAAAAACGGAAGTTGATAATTCCGCCGAAGCTTGGATACGGCGACAACGGTGCCGGAAACGTGATACCCGGAGGTATTGAAAAAAAAAAAAAAAAAATTATTATTTAGAACATATAAAAAAATGGTTATTAAAAACGAAAATTATTGTGAAAAAAAATATTTTTTAAACCCTCAGTCAAATCTCTCATACTCACCCGTGTACGTGCTTGATGGCTGAATAACGATCCTCTATTGTAATTTGCAGTTAGATTAAATGGTTTTTTGCCAATGCGCCTCGTTTACTCGAATTACTCGAGAGACTCGTTACGAGTTATCCGCGTACAAGGGCAATCGTTAGTAACGAAATTAAAGTAAAAAATGCTATTGGACGGAATTCCAATAAAGCGTCAACCATTAAATTGAACGGTGTCGCCTCTGGCATTTCCTATCGGTACTGTACGTATCCTGTACCTGGTCATATATGCTTGTCTTGTTTTCCACCATTTGATCAGCCCATCTGCACGGTGCCTCTTACCACATTAAACACCATACACGTCTACGTATTTCGAACCGACTAGTAGCCCCGCGCCGGTTTAAGCTCTGGCCCGTTAATTTCGCCTATTAATTTCACGTGTTTAAATACCGAACGATCAAGCGCCATATTTCACTGGTGTTCGTTTAATCGTATTTCCGTTCATAATCAATATGGCAATAAAGCTGGTTACACGGGGCACAATCAGACTGTATTATTAGGTAAATTCTCATGAGCAATAAACAGTACACGATCTGTTGATAATAATTATTAGCTGCCGTTTGAATTTGAAAAAAAATAAAATTTTGAAAAATTACCACCACTCTTGACAAGTTTGAAAATTTATTTTTATCCGCGTGGATTATTTTATATATTTTTTTTAATTAGGCGTGATAAAGAAAAAATTGTAAAATGATTATCATGGAAATTTTATTTTCCATCGCTGTTTGATTTTGAAAGTAAATTTTGAAAATAAATTCATCTCTTTCAATCAAAACGTACACTTGCTGTATATTGCTCCAAGACGTATATATAGGAGTCTTGAATCCTTATCACGTACCTGTGTTACAACATAGACCGAAGTATCATACACCCTACAGGAAGTGATGCCGATATTGGTCCAGGGAGTCTGACAGTCTTTTTCTCTTTGACAGGAAGCCATTTTATCTGTATTAAATTTCGACCGATCGGTATCCTTTTTATTTCGTATCTATAACAGTCCAAACGAGGACATTTCAATTTATCGGCTTTATCAAATCTTCGCGAGCCAATCCGCATTTATATTTTGAACGCGAGACTTAATTTATTTCTTTTATTTTTATTCCTCTTACTTTAATCAGAGTCACCATCTATCGGGACACTGTAATTAACTTAGTGCAAGGCAGAAATCGGAATTTAATAACCATGACGGTTATTGGATGCCGTGATCAATAAAATTAATTGGTAATTAAATATTCAAAATTTGATTGATTCCGATGAAATGGATTTTCATTGAATTCTACTGCCTTCGCGATCAATAGCCGTTAACTATACAGAGTATTTATATCCACGCACACAGATATTTTTGAGAATTTTTATGTTTATTTCGTTGTGTGTAATGAAAAAAATTTTATCATATGAAAAAATGGCACGATGAAGATTAGGAGGAATAATTTTTTTTTTTAGGTGCTACCCTTCTGTTTGACGTCGAACTGATCAATATCAGCGACTCGCCGCCGACGACTAACGTCTTCAAAGAAATCGATGGCGACAAGGACAATCAATTGTCTCGCGAGGAGGTGAGAACAATGGCAAGATCCTTTTTTTGATTTTTTATTCATCAGGATACATGTGGTGTCGGTACGCTTCAATGTCCTTTGTAATGAAGATTCCAGGGGAATCAGTTGACAGAACAAGAATCAGTGTCCAGGGTTGGAGTCTGTGTGTGAAGTAAAAGCAAGGTGTAATGAAAACTGTACCGCTAGATGTTTCCAGTGAATGTCCAGCTGATGGGATCAGATTTAAAAATTAAGCCAACTGAGAATAACTATTTTCCTAGTCTGGTCCAGGCTGATGGGGACGTTATGAATTTGTAGGATAAAGGAAAGTTTAAAAGAGGAGCTTTCTAAGATATTTCATAATCCAATCGGATTTTTAGATTTATCGTTTTCAATTGTTTTGACGAGCCTGGTAAGATAGGCCCCTTCACTCTTCCGGTTTCTCCGTCTTCCGGAACCGGAAATGTCATCCAGTTCTAGTTCATCGATGGACCACTTCGTGCTGTCACTGTGAAGATGCTCAATTCTGATCTTGCATAATTGGAACTGAAGGATGGCTACTTCCGGTTATGATTTATTCTTATTTTTGTGCCTTGTATTGTGTGCTGTCTTGGGTGTAGTGGAGATGAAATTTTTAAATGGACCTTCGTGGATTAGTTAAAGGACCAAAGAGGGTTTTATGAGTGGTCGGTTCTATTGGGTTTTGAAACTACTTAAAATTTCACCTTCGTGAGGCTGTATCTCGGAAAGGTTTGGGTTTGGGGCTTTTTCCTTTAAATTTTGAAAGATCTCTCTACGCGGAAAGTCAGAATGGTCCATGGAAGAGGCTGGCACAGATCGAATTGCGAAAGGGCCACTTTCAAAGAAGCCCATAAATTTTTGGAACCTGCAATCTACTTTTGAATTTTGAAAATAAACGAGATTGCACCTTTGGGAGGCTGCATCTCGGAAAGCCTTAAATATAGGACTTTTCCCGCGATACAGCATCCCAAAGTAATCGTTCCGATCAGATTTCTGAAATTTTCTGACATCACTGTAACGAACACCCTATATACTATTTTGATTGTTCTAAGCTTTTCCTGTTTTATGTTTTAGGTCAGCGAATATCTGAGGAAACAGATGGTGGAGGCTGAGAGCACTGGAGCTGGCGACAATGAGGAGGTCAAGAAAATGCTCGCCGATCATGACAAACTGGTAGAGGAAATCTTCCAGCACGAGGATAAAGATAAGAACGGATTTATCTCTTACGAGGAATTCAGCGGTCCTAAGCACGATGAACTTTGAACATAATGCCCTTAAACAAATTCTCCATTTATTCGCTAACCGAGCTAAACTGCAATCAAGTCACACTCGAATATCTCATTCATCTCAACATTAAGATGATACACAGCATCCACAGCTCGGTGCTTCGAATTTTCTTAACTCTGTGTCAATTCAAAGACCTTCCTAAGAAGAAAGAAAGAGAGAGAGAGAGAGAGAGAGAGAGAGAGAGAGAGAGAGAGAGAGAGAGAGAGAGAGATATAGAGAGACCGACAAACAGACTTATAAAAAAATGGAGAGCGATTCAAATTCACATTTCTCAAAAAAATTATATGGCGCATCCACTCGCTCGCAGATACGAAGTGGACGTTTTACGAAGGGGCGGGAAATTCAAAAATTCGGAATTCTCGCTTCTCGTGTCCCCTTCGTATTTTTCAACGATGACAATTAAATAGATCTTTATCATGGATCACCATCTTCTCCCTTATCACTGTTACATTCCGTGAAAACTACTACGTCACTTGCACACAATGTGATGATCATTCATTAAGTTAGTAAAATCTGTATATGGAATGATTGTAAGGATTTTTGGAAAAGAGAAGGAGAGAGTACGTGCATGTGTTTCTGTGTGTGTGTGTGTATTCAAGAGAACTCTATTTGCGCGTGAGGGTACTATAAGGAAAGAAAAAATAAAAGAAAAAAAATTTTTTAAAACTAGTAAATCGGTAACGAAGTGAAAATCATGAATATATAAAATAGCCATGTATAACGACAGTCTGATTTTTATTATGATTTCCATTTCGTACCGCCAGATGGTATCGTTGTCTTTGTCGCAAGTGAATCTTACGAGAGCAAAGAAAAAAGAGAATGAATGGTGCATAATATAGAGATGAAGTTAAAAAGAAAGATATTTATATCAATTAGGGGATGCGTGACTGTAAGCGAGATCGAAATTTACGATTTCTCATAATCCATTTCGAAGGATGATTTTTTTTACGTAAATAATAACAAAAAGAAAGATTAAATTTCAAAAAAGTTCAGTGTTTCCTCACTGCGATTCAGAAATGTTCTCCAGATGTTTTGTCTCTCTCCTATCGTTTTTCGAGAAAAAAATTTTTTAAAAGAGAAGAACAAGAATCGGTATCGGCTTACGAAGCGAAAAAAAAAAAACAAAGAAACGGAGGATAAGAGAAAATAAATAATTTTTATTAGGGAGGAATGATTTATAAATAAATTAATTAATTACTAAGAGTAACAAATGCGTCGCGCAGGACGACAACTTCACGTTGCTGTCATCGCTGTAACCGATACGTTTTTATTACTACATTATATTGTATGTTGTTAAAGTTGGACGAAGGTTAATAATAAAATCGTGTTTCGAGCACAATTTGTTAAAAAAAAAGTCAAAAGACAAAGAAATTTTCACTGACCTTTCCTCGTTTCATTTTTTCCCGCCGAAAAAAATTCAAAATCCCAATCGGCGTGAACGATTCGAATTTTCAGAAAGGATTGCAGGTAAGTAAAATAAATTACACAATACTTATTTATTGTCTTCTTTGCCTTTTATTTGATGCACTTTTTGAGAATTATTCTTTTTTTTCTCGTTACACATTCACATAGGCGTGCGAAGTTTTTTTATGCGCGGGAAATACATTTTTACGAATCGTTATACGAAATTTCACTTCGTACCACGCTGAGAGACGTGATTTATAATATTAATAATAATAACCATTACAATAACAACAATCGTTCTACCGCGAGAAAATTTTTGTAACTTGATATAAAATAAAATTTAAAAAAAAAAGGAGATTTTAACTAGCGTGGATACTTCGGCAAAATTTCTAAGAACGGGATTGAGAAGCTCATGTCGTTATCACACTGCGGCGTATTACGTATACGTTGCGTGGTATTTATGTGGCAAAATATATATACTTTTTTTTAATTTTATTATTTTTGACTTAATTACATATTTCTTTTTTTTTCACTTTTACGGTAACCCAATCCTCTTCCGACTTTATTCTATACGCAGAGACGCGTTCTACGCGCTGACGATACGACGACCGTGTAAACGAAGATAACAAGAAAAAAGGGAAAAAAGAAAAAATAAACATTACGACCGCACGTCGGAAGACGATTGCGTATCCGTATCTGCGCGTACGCGCCATTTTTCGAATCACATGTGGTTTTCATAATTACGTCATACTACCTTTCTAAGAGGCACTCCCTTTAGCCTTATAATTTTCTATAATTTTTTAACGTTAATTGACATATTTTCGTTCTATCATCAATATTGACATCACCAAAAAGAAAAATTCGTCTAATTATTTCGATCGTAACCGCAACTCAAAGAAAAATGTGAAAGACAAAGACAAAAGATGGAGTAACGATCGTTCCAGCGAATACGTCGTATAAAATTTCGAATCAAGGTGGTTGAGACGTTCGAGGGAGAAAATACATATATATATATATAAAGAGAGGAAGAGAAATAAAAATAAAACAGAGACAGACATTTCGTTAAAAAGTTTTGCAGAGACCATGCTGAATTTTGCGCGATGAGAATGGCGGAGGAGGGTCAAGGATTAAGAAGAAAAAAAAACAAAGAGAAAATGAAAAGAGAATATGAAAAATTTTGGAAATTGCGCAATAGTCAAACAAACTTCGCAGACTTCTTCCCCTTCTATTTTTGTATGTATCAAAAAAAAAGAAGAAAAAAAAAGAGCTAACAGTTTCGTCGCAAATTCAATACCGATTGCAAATAGCGTAACTACGTGAATACATAGCAAGTATGTAATATTGTGATATCATAAAAAAGAAAGAAAATTTGCACAATATACCACGCTAATAATCCAAATTCACGAGAAAGCTTTGGAGCATCTTCGTAAAATCTCGTGTATCTTAGTTTCGTCGCCTCCCTCCCTCCTACCCATCATTTTTCTCAATTTCCTCTCACCGCACCAAGAGAAGATTCACGACAGGATATTAATCGGATGCCAAGTACAACTTATTAAATTAAGCGTAGCAGCAGTAATCCCAAGAAAAAAAAAATAACAAAAAGAGAACCCGACTTTTCAGCAGCCCCCCTCTCCCCAAGAGAAAAACCGAAGCCCAATAAAAAAAAAAAAAATTCGTAAATAAATCAAATACCAAATTTATGCATCGTGCAAGTACTTCCCAAACTCGTAAAAAAAATGGCAGGATAAATTCGTTGCATCGTTCTCGATCGTTCGTTGGTCGATTTTACGTATATCGGTATTCGCCCTTCCCTACGTTATTGCCTTATTTACCCAGACAACTGCAGTTGTCGTTGTCGTCGCTTGAAAGCACAAAACTTAACAGTAACGCAAGACCCAGAAACTCGTGATACAGCAAAGAAAGCTTGGCTGTCGTTCCGTCCGTATCGTGACTAGCAGCCGAAAGCTCAAGAAAGAAAAAGATAACGTGCCGCGAGAAGAAAATAGAAAAAAAAAGAGAAAGAAACAAGATAAAGATTAAAAAGGAGTATGAGGTAATAGTGATTAATAATAATTAATAATAATAATAACATAAGAATCAAAACCGTTCAGTCATCCCACGTTATTACCTGTTTACGCGTATATACGAATTATGGCAAGATATGTAATACTCGTCTTAAGATTGTATAAAGATGGGAAGGATCATTCGATAAGAGGATTCCAGGTACCTCGTGTGCTTCTCTCGTCACAATTTATCTTAAAAGCAGCTCTTTGTTGTTCGACGAAAAAAAAAATTAATTTTGAGGGAAGAAAAGATTTTTACAATACGACGTACGTCGATAAGAATAAAGTGGTTCGTGTCCGTGCTAAATGCGAAGAGGCTCGCCGGAGCTTCGCAATTCTGCGACCGTCGCTGCCATTGATACCGTCTTATTCGTTATCTCGGGTGAAAGCATCCGTTAATCGTCCAGGAGTTCTTTTCTTGGTCAAATTCTCACGGGACAAAGCTCGTGTACGGCTCTGCTGCTTTTTCTTCAGCCGCGAGTAGGCAAGGCCGGGATAGGGGTAGGTGTCAGGGGGCCGATACTGCTCTTATTGTGAATGAGTGAAAGGGTGGCTGTGTCTCGTATTGGAGGTCGCAGGGATCAAGGGACTGCCAATCGGGTGCCTTTATCACAGTCAATAGCCCTTGATGTAAGCGGCGATGTGCTTCTTCTCTTCTTCCGAGAGGCCATTTTTCAGGGTTCTACGCACTGTAACAGGTGTAAGGCGATTTTTATATTCAGTAAAGGGTTGTCAATATCATCCCTTATTTTTTTGTATTACGGATCCACGTAAAAGTCGAATGGGGGTTGTAAATTTTTTTCAAAAAAAAGCGCACGAAATTGATACGATACCTTTGCTTCTCATACGTCATACGTATTGGGTATTATCATTGATAAGCCAATCTAACCTAATTTGAAATCTCTTTCGAATAATTGCCATTTAATTCCGCGATCTGTAAAAGGCAAAACTTATGCACGGTTAAGGGTTCAAAAAATTTGTTTTAAAATATAAAAATAATAGTTGGCTCGCTTTATCGAGGTATACCGCATAGGACGACGTTACCAAGTAACCTAACCTAATCTCTATTTCTAGTCCCTCGTACTCAATTACGTAATGCGCGCTCCTTCGTTACAGGCGGGTGCTTTCCGGAAAGCTTAAGTTCGCTTTTCAAGCTAGCGAGTTGCTATTCGAAACGAGTTGTTTATACGGAGCTACCCTTGTACATGTATACCGGTGCAGAGATACTTTCGGCGACGACTGTACTTCATTACTTTCCTGGGAAAACATTTAGTAGACTGGATACGTAACTGCTAAGTAACGAGAATAAACCGACCGGCCGGTCTGCGCGTTACTCGCATCCCAACGAGTGGCTGTGTTCCCCTCGCGTATAAATGCATCGTGACGTTTGGACGATTAAAAGTAAAAAGTAAAAAAAAAAAAGTAAATGAGGTTGGATCAAACGAGCGGGAAAATTCAAACTGACCTTGTATAATTTTTATTATTTTTTTCATCCCTTATACGCTCAACCCCTAAGAAATAGCTGACGTCGATTCAGAGTTCAGATAAGGGATACATACTTTTTTTTTTCAGAATTGCCAGACGGTTCTTTTAATTGCTCATTAATTTCCACCCCTATCGATTCCCGCACTAATAACTCAATATGTAAATATTATTTGGCTCGTAGGGGTAGCGAAGCACCCCTTTGTCAACCAGAGTATAACTATATAACGCAGCACTGCGCTGGTCCGCGTATTCTAGATCGGACAGTGGTAGGTAGGTCGATGCTTCGAGAGGGTGTAAAATAAGGGTGGAAGGGGGAGGGGGGTGGAGGAGAGGGGTACTCGATGGAATTTGTGCGATCATTAATTTAAAGGAAACGCGAACGCTTCTGTTTTTCTCGAAAATCGACGTCCCGACGATTTACACTTTCGCAGGGGGATGCTCTTTTCGCTTCTATCTCACTTGCAACCCTTGTCGGGGGTATCGGGAGTGTAAAAACATTAATTCTCTCTCTCTCTCTCTCGCTCCCACTGTGAACCACCCTTATCCTTTGACCCAAAGTTTTTGGTTAATTTATCGAAAATTAGTACAGGACCGTCTTGCAATTTCTCAAGTTCATCCCTTAATGCGTTTTTCAACCCTCTACTCGTCACCTATCAATCTCAACCACCCCCCCCCACCCCCC